CGGGGTGGAGGTGGGGGTCTCGGCGGCCCAGGGCCGTGCCCGCATTCCTCCCCGCGGGCTCACGCTTGGCAGGCATCGCGCTCCGCCGGGACCGGGGCTGCCTGCACCTGCCCAGCGCCCGCGGGAACCGGCACGCGGCCAGCGCCCAGAGGAGCCTCTCCCCATCCCGGGGGGGCTGACAAGGGAGTTTGCAGGTCTCCTTCTCTCCCCACCCCAAAATCCCGCCCTGGGCTCAGAGAAGCACTGGGGGAGCATTTGCCCCCTTGCAGCACCCTCACCCATGGTCACCCCCACCCAGCAGATCCCAGCTGATGAGCTTCTGGCAATTAGTCCCTGCTGCCATTAATGAATGAATGAAAGGCTGCAGCTGGGGCAGGGTGGGGGGCATAAAGCAGGGGGGGTTGGAAGGGCTGTGCTCTGGTTGGGGGTCTCCAGCTTGGCCTGCTGCTCTCCCTGTGTGGTGGGGTTGCCCCTTGGTGCCCTTACAAGAGCTCCCTGATCCTGCCCTGGGGTGCATGCCGTGGTGCTGTGCTGTGTTGGGGGTCCCCAGCCTGGCCTGCTGCTCTCCCTGTGTGGTGGGGTTGCCCCTTGGTGCCCTTACAAGAGCTCCCTGATCCTGCCCTGGGGTGCATGCCGTGGTGCTGTGCTGTTGGCTGAGTGAGTGGGACCCCGCGCCGTGGGTACCCCCAGGCAAGGTGCGGTGGGGCTATGAGCTGCTGGGCTGGGGGGCAGGTGAAGGGCTGTGGGGGAAACTGAGGCATGGAGGGGGGCTGGCAGCCCCAGAGCAGCTGCCTGGAGGCTGGGAGCACTCGGCTGTGCAGAGCCAAGCACTGCACAAAATGCTGCCTGGGGCTTTGCTCTCAGCCCGTGTGATGCTGGGAGGCCTGGGGGTTGCAGTGTTTGCTCCTGGCTGCTCTCGTCCCCCCAGGGGTGGAGGAAGGGGCCAGACAAAATGTCCTGGTACCTTCCAGATCAGCTCCCTGAGCCAGCAGGACAAGGGAGTTTGCAGGTCTCCTTCTCTCCCCACCCCAAAATCCCGCCCTGGGCTCAGAGAAGCACTGGGGGAGCATTTGCCCCCTTGCAGCACCCTCACCCATGGTCACCCCCACCCAGCAGATCCCAGCTGCTGGGCTTCTGGCAATTAGTCCCTGCTGCCATTAATGAATGAATGAAAGGCTGCAGCTGGGGCAGGGTGGGGGGCATAAAGCAGGGGGGGTTGGAAGGGCTGTGCTCTGGTTGGGGGTCTCCAGCTTGGCCTGCTGCTCTCCCTGTGTGGTGGGGTTGCCCCTTGGGGCCCTTAC